GAAGAATAAATCCTTGTCAAAAGGAAAAGGCAAAGGTGTCAAACCCTTGCCAATTGAGGATGGTAACCCCGAGCCAGAGGAAGAGAAAACCCCTGAACAAGAGTGGCAGACTTGCTTAAGCAAAGTGAAGAGAGCAAGGGATGCCAGCAACAGCGCTTTGAGTGACCTAGAACAAGCCATGCAGAAGTGCAGCCAAGCCAAAAGGCTAACCAAGACAACGAAGCAGGACGCCGAAAAGATCAGCAAACAGCTGCAGCAACAAATTGCACAGCTCAAAAGCGTTTTGTTGAAAAAGGAGCACTCCATGAGCCTGGACAAGGTCAAAGCTTTGCTGCTAAGCTCAGCCAAAAAGATTAAGGAGGTAAAGGAAGAGGCCAAAGACTTCCTCCAGTTGGCCAACAAGGCTACATCCCGGGCAAGCAAATCCTGAAAAGTCCTTGTCAAAAGGATAAGTTGAAGACTTTGCCACAAGCCCTTGCCAAAAGGGTTGCATGTTGATGCTATTATTCCTTGACAAAAGGAATTCCTCTTTCAGGAGACATCCCTTGCTAAAAGGGCGAAACACATCACTTGACAAAAGCGTAGTGCTTGGCTGTATAAAAGGGTTGGGTAGTCACTTGCCCCTTTTGGTAAGGGGTGTGCTGCTGACCATTGGCGTAGAAAAGGCGTGCAAAAAGGGCTTGCCTTGAAGGGCTGGCTTGGGTTTCAAAGGGTTTTGCTTGGGCTTGGGAGGGTCTGCGGGGCTCTTTTTGAGGGTTTCTTTTGAAAGGGTTAGGTGAAGGCAAGGAAGCTTAACCAAGTTGTCCATCCATTTGCATTTGGGCTCAAGCCCCGCCAAACCCTTGACAAAGGGTCATGGAAGAAGAGGCGGAAAGAAAAGTCAAAAGGCTTAGGGGGTGGAAACTGGAACAGGCAAAGTTGGAGGGGAGCCCTTGCAAAAAGGACGCTGAAAATCATTCTGCCCTCTGCACAAGGTTGCTAGAATTATGGTCCCAGGGCAAGCTCTCTGCATGTCAAGTTGCAGAACTTAGCCATTTGGCTGTGTTAGATGGCTGCGCGTCACAGGAGCTAGTAAGTCTGGCCAAGTGTGGCAATTGGGGAAACAGCAAGGCCAACGCGCACCGAGATCTAGTGGCGCTGCACTGCTCAACCATGAAGCTATGTGAGCCAACCCCTGTCCAAGTGACCTTCTTTGACAGCAAGACCCAAACGCCCTGCGAACAGGATGCATCTCTGCTTTTGCCACACCTTCTCTTTGCGAGTCTGGAGCAACATTACGGAGACCGCTTCGAGGAATTCTTTGCTTGCTCCAGCTGCGAAAGCTTCTGGAGGGGAGTAGAGAAAACAAAAGATGAAAGGCTGACCTGGCCAGTAGCCCTTGACAAAAGGGTTGTATGTCCAAAGCAAACAGTGCCGATCTTTGTGCACGGTGACGGGGTGGAGTTTCAAACAAGAGACTCCCTCATGACTTGGTCTTGGGGGCCAATGTTGTCAAAGCAGAGCAGCCTATCCTCTCACCTGCTACTGGCGGCACTCCCTAAATCTTGCACGTTGCCAAAGACTTGGGAGCCCTTGTACGAATGGATCCGCTGGTCCTTTGAAGCCTTGTCAAAAGGCTGTCATCCAAGCGAAGACCCGTGGGGAAACCCCTTGCCAAAAGGGCTTGCAGAGCTAGCAGGCCTTCCCTTGACAAAAGGGCACCACAGGGCAGTTATATGGAGCATCCAAGGGGATGCCGAATTCTTCGCTAACGTGCTGAAGCTTCCTCACTGGCAAAATAAGCACCCCTGCCATGAGTGCGACTGCCAAAAGCCAGTGTATAAAAAAAGAAATGCCCTGCTGGCAAATCAGCCAAGATCCTGAAGGAAGCTGAGCAATCCTTTGTCGAGGTTACCCCCACCCAGGCACTCCTTGCCAAAAGGAGCAGCCACCCCCTGTTCTCCATAGAAGGGGTCTCCACTGCTTTGGTGAGAGGCGATAGCCTTCACATATTGTTTTCAAGGGGCGTTGGGTCTCATTTGGCAGGGTCCCTGCTTCATTTTCTGTGCTACTTCGATGGCGCAAGGAGGCAAGCAGTTCCTCCAGCCCAAAGGCTTCAGCTGATGTTCTCCAGAATTAAGGAGCTATACGGCAAGGATGGCAAGTCAAGACTGACAAACCTGCGGCTCAGCATGTTCAGTGACACGAAAAAGCCTCACCAGAAGTTTCCATGCTTGGAAGCCAAAGCCGCCGAGACAAAGCACATTTTGCCTTGCCTCTTGCAGGTGCTGAAAGAAGCTCTCCCTGGTGACCAGCCAATCCACCAGACAATGATTGATTGCTTGGGCAGCTTCAACCAGCTAGTCCAACACTTTGATAGCATCGACCTGTTTCCCACCAGTGAAGAATTTGCCCTGGCCAACAACCTTGCCAAAAGGTTTTTTGATTCCTACCAAGATTTGAACTCATGGGCCTTGTCAAAAGGCAAGAAGTTGTTCAATATCACCCACAAGTTCCATACCATGATGCACTTGATTAAAAATAGCCAGTTCCTGAATTACAGGATCCACCACAATTACAGGGCAGAAGATTATGTGGGCAAGCTGAGCACCTTGGCTCACTCAGTCAGCTTTGGAGTCAAGGCAGTCAGGCTAAATACGAAAGTGGCCGCTAAGTATAGGATCCTTCTACATCTGCAGCTGACCAGGCCAGGCTTTGGCTTTGTTGACGAAGCGCCAGACAACTTGCGCTAGCCCTTGGCAAAAAAACGCTTGTAGCTCCTTGAGAAAAGGAGAAATGATAAAGCTGCAAGCTCTTTGTCAAAGGTGGCCAGTCTCACCCCGTCTGATAAAGTTATATTAGCATTGCGCTGGGAAAAAACAAAAGCTTCAGCTTTCAGTGCATCATGGTTTTCTATTGATTCCCCTATCCATTTGTCCTTCGAAAAGGTGCTGTTTTGCTATTGATCAGACTATTGAATCTCTTATTGAATGGACGTCTGTTAAAATCAACTAGAAAAATTGAGAAAAAAGTCTCCTTCAATAACACCAGAAAAATATTGATTAGAATCAATAGCCGGTGCTCAGGGGAAGAAAGATAGAAGAATATCATGATGACGATGATGAAGGCAATAACTATGATGACAATCATCATGAAGATGATGAGGATGATGACTCTTATGATAACTATCATCGTAGCTTTTTTTGCATTACCAAAGGATGACTATCATGATCACTATCATCGTAGCATCCTCTGCATTACCAAGGGTGCCTAGTGATGATCATGACTCTACGCATCATTATCGAAACGGCACCTCGCCTCAGATGCCATTTGTGTCATTGAGATTTGGAGTCCTGCCTTGATGATAATCATCACTACGCATCATTCGCAGCATCTCTGGCAATCACATCCCCAGCATCTCCAGCAGCGATGATCATAATACGCATCACTGTCGAAACGGCACCTCGCCTCAGATGCCATTTGGGTCAAAAAGAAACCAAAGAAACCAAAACCAAGGGCACTGTTTTTGGTTGCTCGAAAACCACAACTAAATCCCGGGGTCGGCGGCACTGGGCGGCAGCCCTTAAATATGGGAAAAACAGGGGTGGGGGCAGGGAAAGTTGGAAGCGTGAGGAAAATGTTGGGAACATCTGGGAAAATCAGGGGTGTAAATTCTACTGGCTGACTCCAAGCTCTTGCAGGCAAAAGGGAACTGCCAGTATTCGTATTTTCCAGCATACGTTGACCAACAGGACTTGAATCAAGATCGTCAGTCGTGCCCGAACTTTGAACCATGGCTTCGCAAATGGATTTGGGCCTGTCTGACTGTTCAAGTTTTGACTGCCAGCAGTTCACGAATGGGCAAAACCGGGCCTGAAACGCACAGTGCTCTTCCGGTCGTCTTCCCGTAATCTTCCTGTAATCTTGTCGTAGCCTGCTGACTCTAAGCATCAACCTTTGGAATACTACTGCCATGAAAGCGCACAACACACTTGCCATGAAAGCACGCAACGCACTCAAACCACAAAGTGCCTTCGCGAAGTGGCTTCGCCTGTATCGATGTTACCGGGCTACGCGAAGTGGCTTCGCGGGGCTTCGCGGTACACAATGTATCACACAAGTGCCTTCGCGGACCTTTTGGGAGTTCCCCACGAAGCTAACATCCATCATCTGAGAAAGAAACGCTGTGAAGCACGGCAACAATCAATGTTGTTGCTAGTTACAGATATTCTAGCATTCCTGTGCAACCACTTCAAACCCTGCGTGATCAATAGCACAAGAGGCTTGCCACTATGGTGCTGTTGATGCAAATGCCCAAGCAGCAAACACTAGCCAAGCGATGTAAAAGACCGCATCCCATACGGCTTCAAGGGTAAGCAAACAGGACATCCGTGAACTTGGCACACAAGGGCCAGGGGCTTGTACGGGAGCCAACAAAAATGGGGGTCCCAGTGATCCTGGGCTGAGTATGGGAGGTCTGGGGGGCGGGGGGGTGGGGGAAGTTTTTTTTTGCTGAGTATGGAAGAGCTGAGCGCAGAGCTACAAATGCTGAGGGGAGCTCTGAAGAAAGGGTTTGACCAAACACACATCTTTATATTGCAAAATATTAATTCCCCTCATCAGCAAAAACAGGGGCCCTCATAGCCGCCCTTTCTGGAAAACATCGGGGGGAGGCCGACATTAAAGCCAAGGGGACAACATGGGAAACTTTGGGGAAACAGGGGTTTCATATATAAGACAGCAGGCCGGTCATGTCGGCGGTCTGAGCCAGAGGCGTTAAAGTCAGCATGAGTATCCCCACCCGGAACTAGCAACACTGATGGGCAGGATCCTCCTTATGTTAACCCAACTCTGGAATTCGCCAAAGCAACATACATTCAGATTCTGCTCCATGTTCAGTCTGCCCCAACATGTTAAACATTATACTTTGAAGGATAACCCAGCCAGTATTGGGGCCGGGTACGCCCGAGACTCCATACATTTCCTCAGGGGTGAGGCGGCAATCGTTCCAAGGGCCCAGCGCTTGATGCCGGTCTCCTGAATATCTACCGTCTGCCAACCTTCCGTCGGATGCCTTTGAGCCAATGCCAGCGGGCCAGTGGAGCGTTCGTCGTGTGTGTGCGTGTGGGTCAAAAAAAGGGATTTGGACCGGGACTCACAATGGCTTCGGTCTTTCCTTTGGCTCCCTCCAAGTAGCCTCGCAAAAACAGATTCAGCGGCTGACCTGCTCAGTTGACTGACCAAGATTCAAACTGTTTGCGCCTTGACTAAAATGAAGAAGCCGGCCGACAAAAAGTTCAAGGATTGCCAACTCGAAAGATTGAAGACATTTCAAGGCCAACCATGATGTCCAACACCACATCGGCACCTTCCAACCCTTGCAATGAACCCCAGTTTCGGTATAGGGTTCTTCAGTCCAAGCTTGAAGATGTTAAGACCGGTCACTTTGGACAGATTAGCCAACCTTTAGAAAGGCTTCTGTAACTTTTGGACTGATTTGCCAAACTGGATGTGTTCCACATTCAAAGTCCAACGGCTACACGGCGCAGCTTCACACGGATCGTTTGTGGTGTCCACCAACTATTGTTGAGGGTGTTCCCTTTCGAAGTTCAAACCTGACAATCCAAGGTTAGCCTTTTGGGACCTTGCCAACAAGTGGTTGCCAACACTGAGAAACCAAATGTCACAAGGATGACACGTGCTTGTCCAAGTGAGCATTTGTCGGTTTGGGACAAGTTCATCTGGGCAGGATGCTCCGCATGGGCAGCTGCGCTGTGGTCAAAGCTGGAAAATATGTTCCGTTTTGGGTCTCCATGAGACATGGTAAATTGGCAGGGTGAACTCCGAAGTAAATCACTGCGAACTCAGGGACCCCAGGAAAGGTCGAGCTAGAGGTTGCCCAGGTTCATGGTGACCATATGCGACCATCCGTGATCCATCGCCTGACAGGCATTCGTCCCAAGATGTCCTTTTGCACCAAGGAAAAGTCGGAAAATAGTAACTGACAAGAACCAAACTGAAGCTAGCGATGTTCAAGCCAAACTGAACGCAAAGACCACCCCACTTGCACAGCAACTTTGGTAGAAAAGAAGAACCCCTTTTGAAGATAGTTCCCCATTTTGAGGAATTTAGAATAATTTAGAGGGCTTCGTTGACTAGCTGTGACCCCCGTGGCTTCCGCTCCCTGCCTCACCGCTTATGCTGAGGCGCGGACTTATGCCGCGCGCCGGAAGCCGGCCCCACGCTGGTCGGTGGCCGGCCGCGAGGCAGCCAAACTGTATGCGGTTATTCTAAAACCGGGAAAAAACAAAAAAACATAACGAACCTTCATCGTGGCTTGAGCTCGCCTCAACTCCAGGCGAACTCGTGGGCAACAATGAAACAAAGACGCAGAAAGGCGCAAAAGCTTGGGGGATGGCTGTGGCCCTCGAATCTCCGACCAGAAGTTCAAGGTCATAAATTATTGCAGCTTAATAGCGCCTATTTGCGACTATGAAGGACGAAGGACTATATATTGCAACCTGGCAAGAAATACATATTCCTGGCGATAGTTCGGCCCTAACAGCAGCTGCTTCATGGGAAACTCGGGGAATGAGTTCGGGCAACCAAATTCCGACACCAAATTAGACAAACCCACTGCGCCCTATCCAGTCGCGAGCCTTTTCCCGCCTGCGACGGCGAACATTTTTGACGGCCGCGCCTTTGGCGCTCCGAACTATTTGACGCGGCTTGCTGGAGGTCCCATGGGGAGACCGGCCGCCAATTCTGCTCGGCTGTCAGGGATAGGGCGCTGAGCCAAGATATCGTTGTGGTTTCAGCCGGAAACATGTCAAACATGTGGCTGGGCTGTATCAAATGGAGGATTGCCAAATCTGAACTCCTACTCCCCATAAAAACCTCTGTGCCTGACAGCCGGCTTAACGCAAAGTACACCTACCCTGAGGGTCCAAATACCTAAGGTTGTACTTTCAGCCATTTGGGTGGTTGTCAAAATATGGAGACCCCATAAATGGTGGCTGCCCTTTTGGTTTGAATTCAAACAAACCTAATTATCAAGGTACCCTCACAGAAACACACACTCCCATGATGATCCTAAAACACATCTATATATATATGTATATATATATATATATATTACATTTATACACCTATATAATATATTTTGTAGCGCTCGGTCAAGTATGGTACTTCATTACTCAAGATAAGAACACCTATGGACTTCATCATGTCGCAAGCATACACAAACCAACCCCTTTGTAAGGTCACGATTGAAATTGCCCAAACGTGGTATTCTCTGGGATTACATGGACCCTGAGGGCTACGTAAGAGCCGCGGTCAAAATGACATGCTTTGAAAGGAAGTCAAAAGAATGGGGCTCGTCGCTTCCAGTTTTTGTAACACTTCTTGAGTTCCACCATACCCCCCAACCTCGAATGGACCATAGACCACTGCTCATTTTGACCGCACCTCGCAAGCTCACAACGCCAGGCGCATTCCGAAGGCACGCAGAGAAAAGCCAACGTCTGTCTCGGGAGATGTTGGCGGCCTGGACTGGACCGTTCGAATGGGACGGTGGCCCAACTAATCCATTCTGGCAAACATGGAGAGTTGGCCAATCTCAAGAGAAGCCACAAAGTAGTAATGACTATCCTCTCCCATGGGATTTGTTCGGCGAGAAGAGGAGCCCTTTTTGCAAGCAATTGGATCACCGAAGCAACCCCCTGAAGGTTTCAGGATGTTTCAGGAACGGAAGGCGCCACTTCTCAAAAGCGAACTTTGCACACCCAAACAAAATTGATGCCTTATTGAGATCTGGCAACGGGCCATGGGGAGAGGAGCTGAAGTTTCAATGACAAGCTCTCCACCGGGACGTTGATGAATGGCTTGATATGCCGCGGTTCAGGATGATATGCTGTCGGATTCCCTTTACAGCCATCCCACAAAGCGTTGCCCGTTGTGCCACCTGGAATTCGCAATCATAGAAATGGACATGTTGTTGTCTTTTGCAAAAAGCCACATCCTTGGAAGGACACCTTGGTTCCCAAGGGGCGATCCCGTCATGTTGAGTCAGACCCCCATCCCTTTTGTTTTAGTGAGTGTTCATGGGAATCCACCCCAAATTTAACACACCAACAGGCCAGGGTTTGGCTTGTAATCCCAAATTTCCAAAGGACACAGCTTAGATTGGCGGATTGCTAAAGGACAACCCTCCCCAATCCTTCCAGGAAGCCCACAATCATCGAGTGCCACCTGGTTGGGAGTGCCGGCAAGATGAAACTGACCCTTCAGGTACCCTCGCACAGGTGCTATGATAGTGGAAGCAGGATATTGTGCGCTATGCAGCACCCCACCTGCACAAATCACGAGAATTCAACGGCCTGAAGTAAGATATGCCCCCCCTCAGGTCCTGTGAAATTGATGCTGTGTTTCTAATTGTCTTCGGTTCACCCTACGCAAGTAGGCAAACCAGAAAAACCCTCCAACGCGACGCAAGGGAACCCCTCCCATTCTCCGTGCACCAGTTGTTTTCTTCTTTTTCCCCGCCTGGATGCTGTGGGTCAAAATTTTGTACCCCCTGAACCTCACAATAGCTGGCACATGGATGTTCATCCACTCCCCAAAATGGGGGGTTTGCCTTTTTGGCTCCGCCCCATGGCCATCGCATCCGCTCCCAGTCCCTCGGCCTCAAAGGATGTGGACCTCCACCCGGCGGTTCGCCGCATGCCTCGTGCGGGACAGCGGGTGTAGCGCCTGCGTCCGACGGAACGAGTGGGAGGCCGTGAACTACTCACTTCCTGAGTAGTCCTGAGGCTACTTGGTGGGACCAAAAATCGAGGTGTACTAAAATGACCTTCAGAAAAGTGAAAAGTCCAGAGTCCAGAAAATGGGAAGTGAGTGAGAGTATGACTAGTACACGCTGACAATTGGGTGCTGAACTTTGTTGGGCATCCGGATCACTCTCCCTTACAAGACATCCGAATAACTTTTTAAGAGAACACCCCTCCAACAAAAATGTGCCTGGTTACCTGGTTTCTCTGTATGTTCTACATGAGGAAACCCTAGTCTGCCGATTATCCTCATCCGAGGCACACCACTGCAGCAAGGCAAACATGGGCAAACCATCACCATCTGGCGTAAGGATTGATTCAGGATTGCAGCTTTTCAGGGGAACAAAGGATCTATTCTGGATGCGAGTGTGTTAAACGAATCACGAACAACACAAGTACCCCTCATAGGGTTCCCCGTATTTGGAGACAAACCGGTATGTCCCTCCCAAACAGTTGACACCGCCTTCCAAAGGGGGTCTCAGCTTTTGCATGGGACCCTTGCATTTCTGGGTCCATTGTGGTAAGACATCCGTAACATTACCCTCCAAATGGTGGTTCTAAAGGGAAACCACCAAGAGCAATTGTCGGAACCCCTGGAAATGTGACCGCTTTGAGCGGCCCAGTAAAAAACCCTCGATGTTGTCAAAGTCAGAGGTGATCAGCTTCCTGATACAGCCAAGCAGCCCGGCAAAAAGGCATGGGGACAATCCTTTGAACTTGTACCTAGCAAGCAGCAGCTGGTTATACTTTGCCAACATCCAAGCACTTGAGGACAGGAAGTCCTGTCCACCACCGAACTTAAATGCAAACACCATCATGGCAGTGATGTCGCACTTACAATCAGGATTAGCTTGCATGAGCTGGCTCAAGCTTGCCTCTGTGAGGTCGCCAAAAATCTGCCCAGATACAAATCCTTATGTTTACCTACAATTTGCGCCCATCTATGTAAGCATGAACCGCCGGTGCTCAGGGTCTTGGAACACTTTATGAGCAAAGGGACCTCTCATCGCGGGAAGGAAACCTATATCAAGCAGCTCACAAATTGGGAGTATGCAACAACCGTTGCTTGGGCCCGATGATTTACATACAAACTTTAGGGAAGCTTCGAGATGGTTGGCCAGACAAACTCACTCTTCCGGGAACCGTTCATTTTGCGACTTTTGAAAAAAACGAGGCGTGCCCTGGCATTGGTCCCCTGGCCATCATGTAGTTTCTCATCAAACCACGGCCCCCCTCAGTCAGCAAAGAGGATCAGATGGGTGAAACAGGTTTGGAGCTTCGTTCTTGAACCGCAAAGGTCATCCTCTGAGGTGCGGCCAAATGTTAAACAATAAACAAAACAAAAATGGGGTCCTGTCAGCTGGGAGGAAACCAAAGGCCGACCCGACCCCTGGCAAGGGTTTTGCCCCGTCTCCAGTGCCCGCCTGTTCTTGGGATATGATGTCAACTCCTCACACTGAAAACGGAGGCACAGTACATGCTATGGATCCCTGGTTCTTCAAGACATACTCCAACAAGGCGGGTGTTTGGAGAAGGGGCTTCTTAGAACCTGCTTGGCCGCAGGTTTTAAGAAAGATCTCCTGCTTGTCTAAGGTCTTGCATGTTTCCTAGGTGTCCTTTGTGCCCTCTAAACTTTCCTGGTCACCAAACCAGGGAATAAATCGCCTGATACTCCATGTTTATTGGTATTTACGGGGGGAATCATCCTTCCAGGGTTTCTGAACGGTGGTGCGAAATGGATTTCGCAACCATCCACAGTATCATCTTCCATTTGGTTAAGACCCCTGGAAAAATATAAAACTATTTCCAGTAGTGACAGATTCCCTTTAAAACCAACAGGGGAGAGGAAAACAAATATTCGTTTCAGCAAATGGAAGTCATTGCTCGCCTTGCAGCTCTGCGGGCGCATCTGCGTGCGCGGCACCCCCAGCGCCATGAGCAGCTCCCGGACCCGCGCCGCGCGCTGGCCTGCGCGAGGCCGACGCCAAGAGGCGTCGGTGGCCCAGCAAACGGCGGGTGGTTTTGGAGGGTATCCGTTCTACTTTTTGGGCTGGCTTAAAGGGAAACCTGGAGGAAAACCACAATTGTTGGGGGTCCCACCTATTTTGACACGTACCCAAACTAGTCAGAGTTTCAAGTGGTGTACCCAAAACCACGTTTAAACAAAACCTAAAATGACGGATACCCGCACCTATTGGTGCTTGGGACTGTCGCTAACCTTCACGTAAGATGGCACCGACAAGGGTTTTGCTTGGCGGATTCCATCTTTTGGTGGGCAGCTCACCAAACGGAACTAGGGCGGGCTTGGCCTTGGCCGCTGAACAAGTTGGACCCAGCAAAACCCACAGTTTTGGGGCAGCCTACCACTTGTGAAGTTGGCCATGGTTTCTTCAGGAAAACAAGGTAACCGCTTCTTATAATTTTCTTACTCGACTCAACCCCAGGGTGCGCCAAGACAAACATGTTCACAGTATGCCCATAGTCAACCCTTGAATAGGCAACACACACATCAAAGGAGACCCCAGCTCAAAAGAGGCTCTCTGGGTGAAGCTGCATGCTTGCACCAACAGCTTAGCTTCTTTCATGCATTGTGTCACAAAGAACGGGATCGGTTGCAGGGACGTTGGTAGAAAAGCCTCTTCCTTGAGTCATCCATCGTCCATCTTCCAATGTCAGAAACCTCTCAACCCATGCCGAAAGCTCCAACCCTTTCAAACCAACCCCACAAAGGAGTATCAGCTCCACAGACAAATCACCCCACTCGTGGTTGGCATGTTGAATTCTGCCGGGGTGTCCCCGTTCTCGCAGTAACAAGTGCCCAACCAACTGGCCTGCGAGGTCTGGGTTCTCCTCCTTGTCCTTGGACGGGCTGGTCGGGGAAACCGACCTTCCGTGGCGGTCAACCGAATCGAAAGGTGTACTCTGAAAACGAACAACAGACCGAAACGCCCTTATCTACAAAAGTGTTCTTTGCCCCCAGAAATTCGCAGCGTGACACGCGCTTTTGCTCGCCGAGGTGCCACGTGGCCCTCGAGGCGGACAGCACGCTCGTCCTCCTGCCGAGCAAAGGTGCTTTCCCCCCACCACTGCCCAGCAACCAATGGCTTCCTTTTAAGCAACCAAGAGAAGGGGGGACCTAAAACCGCCAAACAACCAAAAGAGGGGTCTCAAATCTTTAAATTGTGGATAGGCCCAAATGGTTGGTTGACTTTTGCTTTCCTCAAATGACCACTCAGTGGATCCCAACAAGCCACCATAGTTGGGACCTAGACTTAGATATCCTGGTAGAGTCTAGGTGTTCACATGGCGTGGTTTCCTCCTATAGGGATTGCCTGGATCCACTGGAGACTTGCCCTTTTAGCTCGCGATGGGGAATCCCAACATGAAGATCAAAGGATGCCACTGGTTGGTACTGGGTCATCATAGAAATGGTGATACTGGTGGTCGATTCGCATCCAAGCGCGACTTACTCAAAACTCACTTACTTGGCCCAACCCCAGCGATACACAACAAGAACAAAGATCATATGCTCAGATTATGTTTCATAGTTAACCTCAGAACATACAACATATATTCTGAGACCCCAGCCATGCCCAGATATGTCCAGGGATCCTGGCAGAAAAGAAGTGGACTCCTTGTTGGTCGGGTGATTCCATATTGCGTGGGCAGCCCATCAAACAAAAGCGAGCCACCAAGTCCTTGAGGGCCTTGCTCACGGCTTGCAGCAGGAGCTCCGCCTCCTATCGCTCGCCGTGGGTTCAACGGGAGGGGTTCTTTTCCTTTTCCCAAAAAAGGAAGGCAAGTGGAGGAGGACCCAAAACAGAACTGAGATTTGGGCGGGCCAAGGAATCCGAACGGGGTCCCAAAAACAAAGTTCTTGGAGGGTAAATCTTGATGAGACTCCAATGTCAAGAGCCTTTGCCTCAACTGCAGGAACTTGGGCAAAGCCTGTGAGCTGGTCGTGCCACGAGTGTAGATGATGCTAGTGCAAGCTGCATCACCTGCAGCGGTTAATGTCAGGTAACACAAATGCTGAACAAGGGAAATGATTCGCAATCAAAGCCTGGTATTGGAGTGGTCTGGTCCGTCCCTTACCTTCACTTACCTGGGGTCTGCTTGTGGCTCAAATGGTGCAGCAGGATTGTTCTTCCCCACCCTTACTTCAAATGCATCTTCGCTCCCCCGCCCTTTGAAAAAAAAAAAGATCAACCAAAAAGGTGGTCAACATGTTGAAATGGAACCCACAAATCTTTCATTTGTTTGATCAATCTCCTTTTGAGGACCGCAAGGGAACTCCCTCCCTCGACCGAGCGCACGAACCGCGAGCGAGAATCTCCGGCAGGAGCTCGGTGCTCGCCTGCGAGAGGGCCAGTTGCTGGTTGCCAGGCGGCTATTCCTCTTGAGGTCATGGTTGTGGAAAAAGACCGCGGTGATTCCAGGCAAGACGATTCAAAGGGAGTTTCCTGGGTAGCGCAGAAGTTGGCTCTAAAGCCCAGATTTGAGCAACCATGTCTTCAGGTTGCATCCACAACCTTGAGGGGGACAGGGGGGGGGGGCAGCAATTCTAATCTTCAAAAGGGACCAATGCCATGGTGAAGGGGGATTCCCTCGAACAAGCGATCCAGGACTTCCTGGCTGTGTTTCCCTGCCTTTGTCACGACAAATCATGAACAATCCTTGGAATTGTTGAATCGCGGGTGTTTGCTGATGTCTTTCGACTTTTGCTTTGTGGATTGTAAGCAGCTCTTGCTGGCTGTCAAATGCGCTGAGACTCCGAGTTACAATTGCCCGAGTTACCTACTTTGTAACCCTCCCTTAAAGCACTCGGAGGGTTCATTCAGATTCCACGGATTGACATAATAACGAATTGAATGGTGTCAACACTACAACCGCGCAGGTTCTTCCCTCTTCCGGCAGCCCATCATTTCTGCACCAGAGCTAAAGGCGAGATGGTATCCCTGGCTCCAGCTTGGGGGGGGCACCTGGAACAGGCTTGTAGCATCATCCCAAGAGAACTGCAGTATTGGGATCTGGGAGCCAGGGATGATGCTTGAAGGGGCAAATGTCTCTGCTGAACAAAGTTGATTGATCAGACAATGATGGTTAGATGGGTTGTGTTTTGTTTTGCAAGGGAGTAAAGGGTTGACAACATGGGTGAAACAAAACGACAACTGGAATTGGTTCTACTTAACTGGGCAATAACAACAATCTCAAAGACGGGGACTGAAGTTACATAGTTCAAAGGAAACATGCATAACATCTAAAACACCCGAAACAAACAATACCATAGCACTGGCCACGTGGAGTCTCGCCATGGTTGAAGGCACAAGGTCGCCGCGTGACCTGAAGATCGTATCAAGGCCGCCTGTACTTGGAAACAGACGCTCCCACCGAATAACACGTAACTCGCTAGAGGGACACCTGACGAAAAATGCTGGTGAAAGCACTGGCTAAAGGTTGAGCCCCCAAACCAGCCAAGGACACCAAATTATAAACCCGAGTGCCTGGCCTGCGAGAAGTAGAGCCCGCAAGGCATCCCCTCCAAGTCCGGAGGCAGTGGTCCGGACCGCGCCACCAGCTCCTGGCATCCCAGGGCCCGTGTTCCGAGAAGCCAGGGCTGGGTAGACGGGTAGCTGGGATCTGGAGACCAAACTGCCCATCCAATTTCGGAGGCATACACGAAACCTGGGTGCTGCTTCACAAAACCTTCCCGTTTGGCGGTCCTTTATTATGGCTTCAAAAATTAGGCACCCAGCAGGGCTGGGCAAGTGGGGTTACTGCAAACAACAAAATGCCGCATCCCCCCCCCACCGCCGCCACCGCTGTTTCATATTCGGCTTATCCTTACAAAAAAAGAGACAACACTTTGGAGACTTCTCAGCTTTCTCCTGGATGGGCACCGGCACCACCAGCTGCCCTCGGCCCTGGGCGGAGCCACAGCCTTTGAGCCGCAGCAGCCCCGGCGCGTGGCCCGCCACCTGCCGGGTGCGCGCCGGTCCTGTTTGACCGTAAGTGCAACCAAAAGACCGCACACCTGCCTTAGATTTTTTTTAATTTGTTTTTTTCGGAGGGGCCATGACTTTTGTGGGTAGAATCTGGCTCTGGTATGTGTTGCCCAAGAAACTGATTCAGCAGTGACGTGCGGCGGGCAATGAGGGAATGACCCCTACAAACCATCTCTTCTGGCTTCCTTTCACGGAATCCCTAGCTGCATTCACAAAGCCCCTCTTGATTCTCAAGCCTTCTTCGGTACCCTCCCGCCGTTGGAAGGCCATTTTCCTCTTCAAGGACCTTCTGGTGGGCCATGTTCGTCGGTGGGAGGGTAGCTGAATCTTTCCCCACGCGAATATATTTCTTGGAGCCAACCCCAACCAACAATCGCCGAATCCCCCAGCGTGGGACTGTTGGACCCTATTCGGGATGATTTGCTCTAAGATCGAGAGCCCGATGCATGCTTGAATGCAGTCGGGCATACGTCCTTGCATATATCTTCGAGTACATCATTGAATTTATCCTGTTCAACAGCCGGGCCACCCCAGCAATGCTTTCCGCTGGAAGAAGCAACTGCTTGGTAGCCCCATCCTGCTTTTCGCTTCCAGATTGAGCTTCCCAGTCCCCGAAAGTTGACAAACCAGACCAAACAACTGCGCTCCCGGCCTCAACCAGCCACTGGTACACCGCCAAGCTTCTTTCAATGTCCATGCCTCAACAACGAGGCACACACTCACAACCTCCACCGTCTAAGAGGGTCAAGGTCAAGCCACTACCCTCAAGTAACCCGGCCCCCTATAAGCATGGCTTCTAGAAGAAAATGCATGTTGAGATGCTAAAGGTTCACCGCAAACCCAATCCCGACACATACGAAACACCCAAACCCAGCCTGACGCAGCTCGCTTACATGTTACCACATGCTTACATGTTGCCAAATTACCATTCGCCAGACTGGCAAGATCGGCAAGCGATCATAGTAAGAGTAACAATAAATAATATTAAGATGTAATAAGAATACGCAACTAATACCACATGTTCATAAATACGATAAAAACCAGCAGCAGCACCTGCATCTCATTGGCATCGGCATCGGCATCATTCATAATGATCAACATCGCCATCCTAAACCACCTCCTCCTCCCCCTCCTGCTCCTCCTGCTCCTCCTCCTCCTCATGCTCTCACTAACATCATCATCATCATCATCATCATCATCATCATCATCATCATCATCATCATCATCATCATCATCATCATCATCGCCGCCGCCGCCGCCGCCGCCGCCGCCATCACCCTCGTCATCATCACCACCGCCGCCATCGTCATCATCGTCATCATCGTCATCATCATCATCGTCATCATTGTCATCATCATCATCTTCTTCATCATCATCATCATCATCATCATCATCACAGCCGCCATCACCATTGTCATCATCATCACCACCGCCACCGTCATCATCCATTATCATCATCACCATCACCTATCATCATCATCGTCATTATCATCTGCATCATCATCTGTCAACATGACAGTGTCTACGGTGCTTGTAGTCACGTAGTCCTCATTGTCAGTGTAGTTTGTCCTTATCCTCACACCCATCATCAGGATCTACTGGTTGTAATCGTCGCTGATGCAAGCACTATCTTGGAATATTGCCTGCGCTGAAGCAATGACAACACCCTACAGGCAGAAATGTGCTCCGCACAAATTATGATGAACATGGGGTGTCTTTTCACCCTTCTCATGTTGTTTGAAAGCGAAGTCAAAAGGGAACCGAAGCCCATTTTTGGAATGTCCCTCCCCTTGAAGAAACAAACCCTCATGACACAAGTTGCCATGACGATGAGTGAGTGCAAACACACTACGATTCTGATGTTTTACGGGTCATGAACGAATATGTCATTATGTGAGACTGCCTCAAAGTAGGGAATCAACCCAAAGAGCACAAACCCGGACAACGCTCATAGGCCAACATGTCAGCAGACACTCGTAGCAACAGCTACATTGCGCAAGCTCGAAATCCACCCGCGGCTTTTTGGGCCCAGAAACTACGCCCGTGCTGAAGACATGCTGAGCATTTGCTTTGCACTTCTTCCTCGCATGTAACCTACACGTGCATTCTTTGGCCTACAAGTCGCTGTGTTACCAGCGACACTGTTACCAGCGACACTGCAGCATTGAATGTATATTTGCGCGCTCGTTCGGCGCGAAGGACCGAACAATGCAAGGTGGCACCAAATTACCCGCATCCAACTTTGGTGACCCTAAATGGGTTCCAACAAGTGGGTTCTAGGATGCTTCACACACATGATTGTCTTTTTGTGCAAGCTGGAACCCGTTTATTAGAACCTGCTCAACAGGTCCTGCGTGCAAATTTGTCTTTTCGCTGGGCGCTCTTGTCCCGCGGGATTTGCAAAATCGCATTGACTTCCGGCGGCCAGGAGGAAGCATAGGCCGTGCGTTGGCCGCTCAAAGCAAACAACCTGAACCCTCAAACTAGTTCGAAATGCTACTGTGATGGACGAAATCCTGCACCACCTAAGAAACCCTGGAATGGTGTTTCCCCTGCAAATTCCAACACACAATGGTTTCCCGTGGTTTCAAAGTGGTGCAGGATTTTGTCCATCCACAGTATGGGGTGGCTTTTTCTTTTTGAGGGTTTCAGTCTCCGACAAAGATCGTCAAATGAAGAGGTCGTCATTGCCAGCCTCACAGCTGCACGCCCCTCGTCAAGGGCATTTGGACCAAGGCAAATGGGTATGTGTCAAAGTTGGCCCCCCCCCCCGAATATGGTTCATTCCCTGTTGGTTTCCTGGTTGACCAAGGTAAACCAAGGGCACCCTCAACAAAACGCACACCCAAATGGGTCTCTTTTTGTTCAGGGTGCCTTCTTTGGGGCTGTGGGAAAGCCAGAGGAAAGTCGCAAACAAATGGGAGGCCCCGTCTCCTATTTGGAGAGAAGCCCGAATGGTGTGCGGCCCATGTGGGCCTATGATTAAAGCGAGCCTGCATGAAACCTACCACTTGGGCATCTGGATTTGGAGGGGCCCCATTTCGATCACTGCCCACAATGCCAAAACTGAATCTTATAGCCAAGCCACAGTGCTGGTCATGAGCGAGGACCTGCGCGCACATGCCGCGTGCAGGTGCGCGTGAACTCAGATCTGCCACTGCAACTTCCATGTTCTTGAGATGCCACAGAGTTTCCACACATGGCCATTTCCCTTCAAACCTTAAGGAAAAACCAATGGAATCTGACATCATGATTCCAAGACCTGCACTGAGCCCCAGGGAGCTGGCCGTAAATTGATCCAGATGAACAAAGGAACACCCTGGATCACCGAGGAAAGAGGCCCCTCCCTGAGTGCCTGGCGAGTCCACCAGGCAACTCTTGACCATCTGAGAACTAGTCAAAACCGCCAGAGAACATACCCAGAAGAGATAAAAAAAGTCAAAGGACCTATACCCAAATAGCCAGTAGAAGGCAGTGGCCACTACTAAGTTGCCGTGGCACCCCCAGCCGGCTCCAAAATCAGCTGGGCATAATTATCATGCCGAAATACGGGGGACACCGAAAACCTTGAGTTCCAGAAATTTGCAGGTACCTGGAACCCTAAAAGACCAAATCTAAATAGTCGTCCAGAAGTGGGACATGCGAGAACGGCCGTTTGCTCCAAACACGGCCGTTTCAGGAGAGTCGGATGACTGAATTAAGTTTCAATATTTTTTGTGCGGCACTTCAGCCGCAGCCCTTTTTCCGCGAACGCTCAAGGCACAATGCAAAAGCTGTCATACTGCGTCCAGTCGATCGAAATGCGTTCTTCGAATACGCAGCGTTCAGGTATGCATCTGTACCAATCGAAAAAAAGAGCTTGAGAGTTTGAGTTTACCCGTCACACCCCAGCCTCGATGCCGAGGACCAAGCCCTCATTTCTGCGTGGAGCTCGTCGAGGCGCTTGCGGCGCTCCTCAGACCCATCTAGCTAAGCGTGTGGCTCCCATCATCTTGGTCAAAGGCAACGATGCAAGATGTTACCGATCGTTGACCCAGTGACGCTAGGCCACCTCCCACGCGAATGTTCCCCAGCAATTGAAGCCTCTGCCCCAATAGACTCCAGCTCTGAAGGGGCTCGGAGCGGCTCGGGGCTGTGGTTTGGGAGGGGTTAGGGGTGGCTGTTGGGGATACCGCCTACCGTCGGACCCACGTCACGCCGAAGCGAGCGGAGTCGCCGAGTCCAAGCGGCGAGCTGACAGCTCCGCTCCGGGCCTTGCGGGCCATGGACGGCTGAGTCCCCGCTGCCGCAGCTGCAGGGCCTTGGCCCGAAAAGGGGTCGGTTGCAACCAGGGGCCCAAGGGCGTGTCACATGGCTTTTGGGGCTGGAGATCGTTCATGCTCGTGGTTTCCAACCCATTTGGGGGTACCAGTCGCAACCAGTGACCCTGATAGAAATTGGAGCCCTCTTAGGGGTTCTTGAAACTTTCAGTGGGGAACCCATCAAACAAACAATTGGAAACATGGTGGAATCCTCTGAGATACACAGAGGGGTCCAAGGTAAGGTGGGGGGGGGCTGTCTGGGCTTTCTTCTCCCCTGAGGAACATTTCAACTGTCTGGGCTTTTGCGTTTTTTTTCGTGGTGGGGGCTCAACAGGGTCTGTTTGGCGTGATGTCTTGTGGGTTTCGCATCGCTAGAGGACACTAGTGAGTCAAGTCAGGTACCAAAACGCGAAACACCTCAAGGTGGAAGTCGACACCACATACTCTTTTGACGTGGCCTCAGCACTGAAACCAGCTCTAGACGAATGCACCAATTGAAACACCTTCAAATGGTCAACCACCGCATGCATATATAACTCAAAGAAATAGTATAAATTTCAAACTATGATAGTCTGGTCGCTTAGATCCAACCCCGATTCGGGATTCCAATGTGGGTTGAACATTACCAATCCCGGACGCTCCCGAAAAAGCCGCTTTCATCCAAGGGGCGGTGCACGCGTTGGTGGGCCATGGCCAACTTGTGGCCCCGGTGGTCGAAGCCTCCCAGGTTCTCCCGTGGCACCTCGCGGGTTCATGGAGTCTCCATGACCCCTGAACGGAACCCCAGCCAAAACAGGGAAGGCGGACTTCCACGGAGAGAGAGAGAGAGAGAGTGCCGGTTTTGGTGGTTGATTTGAAAGGTAGTGGGTGGGGATCCTTTTGTCCGGCGTGGCCAGTGACGCGGTTTGTAGAAAAAACTGTGGATGTCTACTTTCGACAAGCATGAGGAGGCTGAATATATAGCCTCATCATGTCTTAGTCATCGTTTCGCTCCGTGATGAGGGATCATGCATGCAGCTGCGTTCTATCTAGCAGTTCGAGTCGGCAAACCCATCTGAGCAAATTCTCATAAGGGAACCTTCTGAAAGGAAGCTTCATCCTTGACGTCGCACACCCCCCGCCCCTTCTGATTCTCCCAGAAGTCTCCGATGCTTCGCGGAGCGCCGACGCTTCTCCGGCGCTGAACCCGCGCCGCGCGCCTTGGGGCTGGCTGCCGGGGTCTTCTCGACGTCCCGGTCTCGCTCCCGGGGCTCCCTGGGCTCTCTGGTCAGCCGGCGCCTGAGCCCCGAACCGAAATGGCCGTGTCTTTTTTGGGAGTCGGCTTTTTCAGTGTTGAAAGGGAAACTAAAGGAAAACCACTCCTGTTGAGCTCCCCCACCCATTTTGAGAACAAACCCA